TTTTGTCCTGAGCATGGAGATCTTAAGCTAATGGCGGGGTGTGCTTACAAGAATCCAGAGCCGCATGTACAAGTTGCAGGTAGGGAGGAAATCTCCCTTAGGTTGTGGAGTGAGATTCTCTTATTCTTCACTGGTATATTAAATCATCTATTTCTCTCAAGAGCATGCTCAAATATAGTGGGTAGTCTACAAACTCTCGTGTCTCTCTTATGTCAGGTATGATTGGAAATTGATTTTTAAGCTTTTACAATAATATGTATACATTTTATGGCAGGTTAAAACTAACGCTTCTAGTCCAATTGCTGAGCCAGTTGCAGCATAGGCTTCTACAACCGCTCTAATTGAGACTTAAGTTAATAGGATTTTGCAGAAGCTTCCGAATGGAATTTATTGGCTCTATCTTCTCATGTTGTGCATTACCGCTACAAAGAGGTGCTTTGTTCTAGCTTTTCGGAATTGTAGACGTCGTTAAATGCCTAGGTTTGTGGTAGGTCTAGATGCTTTTAAATGAGCAACGATATCAATATGAAAGATGATCTGTATTGTTTAAATCGACATTGGCATTGAGTCACTGCTGTACGAATATTGTACGAGTATTTAGTACTTGATACGATAGTTGAAATTTTAGAGGTTTTCAAGTGAGTTCTGCACAAGTTGCTGTCATGGTTGTTGCTATATTGCTCCCACACAAACCAGTCCCCTCTCTTTTTTGCATGCTTACTCGCTCGTCCCACTGCTACAAGCTAAACACTGAACTGGAATAGCAACTAAAGTTAGCCTTCTTGGACTTCTTGGACTTGGACTAACCAAGTGTCCAGGTGGTTCAGTTGGAACTCCAACATCTCCTCCTCAAGTTGGAGGATGAATGAACTCGTCCCGACTTGCTTAAAAAGATTGTACCCTGAACACCATCAAGGGAAAATATAAATTAACCTATTAGTAAGCTTATCTATGACTAAGCTAGCGTTTGACTATAGATTCCCAAATTTATTCTGAAAAATCTGATTTGGGTGAAGTTTGGTTTGAAGATGAAAATGTGTTTGGACATATGTTTTGGGTGAAATTTGGTTTGGAAAAACATGAAACATGACTTATACCCACAAGTTTTAAAAACCATCACAAATACCCAACAATACCATTATCAATAATATTCATTATATTATCGCAAACCATAGTCCTAAACATAAATAAATTTGATACAAAATTATCATTTTTATAATGAACTACATGATACACTACCAGATGACCGAGAAGACGAAGCAATATCGTTACAAAATAATAAATGATGGGCTCTTTTATAAAATACAAAAGTTTGGGACAATTTAAAAAAAAATATAATAGTGATATTTTGGCCGCTGGTTTTGGGATTTGGGATTTGAGACTTGGGATTTGGCCAAAATGTAGGCAAAATCTATGGCCAAATATGTGTTTGCCAAATAAAATTTAAGTTTATTTTGGCAAAATCTATGGTCAAACGGGTCCTAAATATGCATCAACTCTTTGACTAGGAGGAAACTTAGGTACCTACGGGCATGATAAGTATTCCAAATGAAGGAGTCCAGGAGTTTGAAGAGAAGTGGCTCAAATGTCACAAAGCAAATTAGATGTTAGGCGTTGTTTGAGTGAGGAAGTTGATCAGCTTCCAATTTACTGCATCTATAACCCTTGATTGGGTGAGGAAGTCCACGAAAGTGCACAATTTGAAGCAAAAAAAGAACAAAACGAAAAAATGGGCCAGTGTAGCGTCTGGGTAGCGCCCCACGCTACCAGCGGCACAGTTTACAGATGCAAAATTTTTCCAGGGTCAGGGCTAGCGCCCCGCGCTACCCTGGGCGCTGGGTGACAGGTTCTTCTCTGTTTTGCCCGGGACAAGGTTTTTTGGCCCTACACACCCCCAACTCGTATAAAAAGAAGTCTAAACCTATTTTGGAGGGTAGGGCGTTTTTGTGAGGAACTTTTGATCAAGGGATTGCTTGATCACCAATTAAATACTATCTATGAATCTAGAGTTGAACTCGAAAGTGGAAATTCTAGGTTGCATATAGGATTGAGTAGAGCAAGTTCTTGAACCTGAGCATCGAAGGATTGATTTGCGGTTAGGATAAACATATGCTAATTGCCTTGTTTGGTTATTATACGGGAATTACGAATGCATTCTTGTTGATTCTAACTCTATAGACATATATGTGTTAGCCGTTAGGTTAGCTTGAATAGGCGAGTAAGAGATCGACAGATTCTTATGAGCAGTATTAACCCCATCAACCAATAAACTAGATAAATTAATTAGTTAATCCAATTGAAAAATACAATAGGAATGTTAGGTAGCCCATAGCCCTAGACCGTTTTTATCACATTGATAACATAAAAATCCGCTATTTCTTTGTTCGGAGTTCACTATTTGTTTTTCTTTTATTTTAATTAGTTTAGAATCAAATACTTCTAGGTTTAATTCTTGTTTAGGTAATTACAATAGTCTAGTTTAGTTAATAGTTGATAACAAGTTCTCGTGGGTTCGACATCTGACTAAAAAGTCACTTTATTACTTGACAACCGCGTATACTTGCGTATGTGTTTGGCCGCAATACATTATTTACATCTACGTAAAATAATGTCCATTTTATCTTTGATTGTAGCCATAATACACTTGATGGTGGTCGTTTTAAGGGAGAAATTAAAAAATAGGCAGATTTACAAGTAGTAATTAAAAAATGGCCACAGTTTCAAAAGTAATCGAAATTTAGCCGCTTTTCATGTAAAGATAAATTTGAACGAAAACACTGTTCAAAAACCGAAAAATATTTCAGCATAATATACCGGAGTTTCAGTATCTCCAGCATATTATACTTGAGTATAATATACCGGTCTAGCATAATATGCTGGAAGTTCATACACAAGTGCTCCAATCTCCAGTATATTATGCTGGAACTTCAACTTTTCGCGTGTTGGAGTTCCAGCATAATATGCTGAAAGTTCATACACTGGTGCATCAGTCTCCGGTATATTATGCTGGACTGGTCCATGTTACAGTAAAATAGTGGCTATTTTTCAATGAGTTTGCAAACGGTGGTTATTTTTAAATTACCAGTCCGAAAATTGGCTAGTCCGTGCTATTTTTACTCGTTTTAACATGCGTGCGATAAAGTCTCATTATAAACAAATCCATCCTGTTGAGTGTCACAAGCCTTGCCTTCTATATCGTGAAGCTGCGCGCTTGATTTTGTAGACCCATTTGCACCTAATTGTTTCCTTTTCAATGGGCAGTTCAACTATATACCATACTTGATTAGCTTTCAAAGTTTCAAATTCTTTTGTCATTTCCTTTTAGCAAGTAAGTTCAAAAACAACTTATTGATATGAATGAGGTTCATGCACACAAGCAACACTCTGAACTAGTGAAAGGTTACCATCGAATATTCGAAAACAGGGAATCTACAAGAACATTTATGAAGAAAGAGGAAAGGAGAGATGCCTTTTTGCTAAATGGCCATACGGATGACTAATTGGCACAAAATAGCCCAACTCCCAATTATTGTCCGCTTTAGCCATTTTTCTTGCATTCTACCCAAAAATAATTTTCCTGCAACTGAACCACTTCTTCCTCACCCATTCACACTGCCACCACCACCCTCTCGCTAGAACAAAATGGCTTAATAGCTAACTTTTAGCGATGAGTCAAAAATTTAGTCCCTAAAAGCATACTTATTAGTTAAGTTGCGACACCGGTGCGGATCTAGAGGTTGGATCCTTCGAGATGTAATTCTAAGATTCGAGGATATGGATCCTAGTGCGGATACGGGTGCGAAGATCCGGCTAAAAATAATTCAAAATACCTTAACTTAAATATAAATAAAAAATACTACAGCCGACATACTAAGTTAATGGTAACAAGGCAGCAAGTTAATTACCATTCGTAACTATATTCGTTCGTGCAACAAATACAACCAAGACAAAATATATGAATGTATACAAATGATACAACATGTATCGACTGTACAACCAAATACAGAAAACTATAAATACTCACATTGAGAGTCGAACTCAAAACCTCCGCTTACAACCAAATACAGAAAAATATAAATACTTTCATTGAGAATCGAACTCAAAACATCCGCTTACTAAGCGGATGATCTAACCAACTGAGCTACGAGAGTTTCTTGCTCTCTTTTTTCAGTTCAAAATAATTGATCTCTTGTTTGAGTACTTTCAGGTGGATTTTCTATAAAATTCAAACATAACTAAGAATGGTAACTTTTTAAAAGTATATCCATGAATGGTAAATACAATGTATACGTTTGTGGTGTCGTAAAGTTTTTCTATACTATATAGCATTTAGTAAAAGAGTTCGGTATTTTAGTTAACGAAAGTACTGAAATACTGATACCTTAAAACCAAGAACTGTACCATATATTGAACTTGTAGATTGTTACCGAATAAATACCAAAGTACCGAAGAAGCAAAATAAAAATATTGAATTAATTTGATTTGGTCCGATTTTTTAGATTTTAGCCCATCACTAAAGAGTGTCTGAGAATCAAATAGGTTACAACCGGTAATAAAAAATAAAAAAAGAATATAAAATAGGAATTTCAACCACCACCAAATTCTTTTTTGAAAATTCGGATCACAATCAGCTACATAGTCCACTGGTAGTCGGATCTGCGTCTGCAATATCATATAAGAAAAGAAGAGGGATGATTAAAGGTGTACTAAGACTCAGAGGCGAACCTAGGATTTCAAGATGAGGGGTGCATTGTCGTGAAAAAATGGATTTAGAATTTACATTTGACGGATTTAACTTTAGTCTTTTACCATGAACTCACTACATTTTTGAAATTATAGGTTCAAAATTATATTTTTTTTGAAATTTTAGTAATTTTCACACACACACACACACACATATATACTCCGTGCAGAAAACAAAACCGTTCAGAGTGGGATTTGAACCGCCAATTTTACTTGCAGAGGTGCACCCAATAATAATTGCACCATAAGAGTTTTGAGCATGGATTCACACACATATATTTAAGTAATTATGAAAAAATATAACATTGTTATACATGGTTCAGGGAGAAAAGTATGGGTTCACGTGAACCCATATTTTTAAAAATTGAATACGCCTCTGTACTCGGTAAGTATCATCTACTTTCCAAAAGGGTCGTGACGAGACTTCTAGCCAGTGCAAAAATAACATTTCCTTTGAAAGCATGTACATATAATGTAATCAATAATCATATGTACAAAAATAACCAAGATAACATGTATTGCATACTCTCAATGCACAGGTAAAGTTTATCACAATATGGACAACAACCTTCTTGGCATACATCTGATACATAGGTAAAGCATATAACAATATGCATAATAACTCGAATATCAACATTCATTATACTAATTTGATGTACATGTATAACATACAACACTATGCATAGGAACAGAGCATATAATGATACAACTATCAGAAAAACCAACCGGCATGACCAATATCGTGCGCATACACGTTCCCTTGGTTCCAATATGGTTAGTAACTCGTGAGGGAGGATCCATTTAACATGTACCCGAGATGGATCCAGAATTTAAATCTTATGGGTTCAACTTTTAAAATTTTTAGCATTAAACTCATTATATTTTTAAAGTTATGGGTTCATATCTACTATTTTGTACTTTTAATGAATTTTTACACATTAATTTTTACTCCGCATCAAAAGTTATGGGTTCAGTTGAGTCGGGTGATACTACACTACATCCGCCACTAGATGGATCTACATGCTCGTAATTGAAAACCTGAGATATGAATCCACATGCTCATCACTAATAACCTAAGTCGTGAATCTGCATGCTCGTCACTGATAGCCCGAGACGTGCGTCCCATACTCATCACTGAGAAATTCGCTATTTTTCGACTACCAAAATAGTCAAAAAGTAGTCGAAAAAGTACCTATTTCGACTACTTTCCGACTGATTTACAATAGTCGGAAAAAGGTTCGTCGGAAAAAAAAATTCCGACTACAGTAGTCGAAAAAAAATTTCCGCCAAAAATTCAAAAAGGGAGCTATTTTTTTTTCTGACTGAAGTAATCGAAAAACAATAAAATAATTATTTGTTTTAAAAAATATTTCTGACTACTGTAGTCGTAATAAAATATAAATAATAATTATTTTTTAATTATTTTTATTTTATTTTTCGACTACAGTAATCAGAATATTGAATTTTCTGGATTTTTTTTTGGAAATTTTCTGGAAAGTTAGTCGGAAATTTATTATTTCTGGGCACATTTTCTAACTACAATAGTCGAAAAATTGGGTTGAATTTTGGCAAATTATTGCCATTTTATTAGCACACCACCTGCCAAATGACCATTCCAACTAAACAACCAATTCAACCTAACGATTCCAACTAAACAACCAATTCTAGCTAAACAACCATTCAACTTCAACAAACAAATATTTAAATCCCATAATATCAAACCAAAACATTAATTAAAGTCTAAATATTCAATATCAAGTCTAAATAGCTAATACACATCGACATTAATATAATAAAGTCTAAACATATATACCACAACATCCAAACCTACCATAAAATCTAAATATAAAGTCTAAACATCCAAGAATATGATCTTACATATGTTTCTGATGCACGTGTCTCAACTCATCCTTCTCTTGAACCGTCCTTTTTCTTTTTCTTACGTGTCTCCGCAAAGACCTCAGCATGAGACACTGATCCTCCCTTTAACTTTACCTGAAAAATTAATAGGATATAGAATTTAGATAAAAGTTCAATTGTGTTTAACTTTATACATTCATCTCTTAACTATATGGACTACTTAATATAATATTTTCCTTCATAAATATTTTTCACATGTTTTAGCAGAATTTTTCTCTTCATTTAAGAATGAGATGCCCTGGTGGACCAAAACAAAAGCTAATTGAAAGCAAACTTGGAGCATTGCCAAATTCCATGAATGACAGATATCTTATATGCCAGCTTTCCAGCTAAAAAACTATTATATCTTATTTTTAATAAGAAATTTTTATAGCCGCACAAATATTTTTTTTGATAATTAACCTTTTTCATTAATCACCAATGAAACATTACAAATCATAGCTAAAGTGCTAAACTAAGACACAACCAACTATCCAGTAAACACAAATAGCTACACCAAAGAGGAAATCAGCATACTAAGCTACCTCTCACCTAAAACAGAAGCTTTTGTAAGGCCCTTCTAATTCTCTAACATTACAACCGTAGGCTATTTCCCTCACTACATACTGCCAGTTTCTAGTTTTCTGCTCAAATATTCTTTGATTTCTCTCTATCTAGATGCAGTGGACACATTCAGTATATACCATCTTGAATATCTGAACACCTTGTGCTTTCCCGTTTGAATTACTGATAGCCCCACTTCTGATGTTGGTCCTAGGTCACTGTATAAATGTTATGACATATTTAATATCATAAGTTTCAAAAGTCTTATAAATACACAAATGTTATGTCATGTTTAATTCATAATTAGTTTCAGAAATTTTTCTTTCTTTCTTTCACTCTATGTTTGTAAGGCCCTGTAAAACATTTCTAATAATTTAAGACTTTATAGTGCACTAACAATAATTGGAAATAATATTTTTGAGTTCTAAAGGAGACCTATGGGATAGAACCATATTATTTTGAATTGAAAATACATATGAAAAGTGTTTTGGAACATATTAAGGAGGTTTGTAAGTGGAAAGAAGTTGTTTGGAACGAGTTGGAAATATTAAGTGGAATAGATGTCAAACTTTGCACAACACTTGACTTTGAATGGGTATAACTCTCATAATATAAAGATAGTTTCAATGAATATTTCCTCTAGAGTGTAGACCTTCGAGTCTGGTTTCAAACGCATTAAACCATTTGTCATTTGGATATTTCTACAAGAAGCTATGATCAAATTACTAAAATGAGGCAGGTGGAACAAAGAAAGTCTTGCTAAGGGTTTAAAGCCTTAAATCGCGCCTCGAGATCTCCACTTTTCGCTTGTGTACCCCAGATGGCTATGGATGAGGGTAACATCATGTAATCATGATTTCATACTTATATGAAAGTCTGGAAGTGAATTGGGGATTTACATCATAGCAATGTATCGAAGGAGGGTAAGTTGAAAAACAAGAAATATAGGAAGGATGCATCTTGAGGGCTCGTCTGAACTCGTGCGCCGCACGGGTTTGAACGAGAAAAGACCCCCATTCATTTCAACAAAACAACGAAGTATATCCCCAACACGCAAACTTTAACAAGAGTTCGTCCATGTCCGCGCGATGCACGAGGATGGACAAGCTAGGCTTGAAGCCTTTATAAAGAGCATTTCGGTAGCTCACTTCTCCCACTCCTCTTAGCCGATTCTTGGAGCTCATTTCCACTCTCTCCAGGCCCCCCAACTTCCCCCATATTCAAGGTGAGTAATCCCTACTAATTTGGTATTTCATTCTATCAATTTCATCCTAAAACTAACTCAATCCTCCATAAAATACATAGATTTTCAAGAAATTTCTTCAAGAACTCAAAAGAGGGTTTTGCAAGATTTCTTCCAAAAGGTAATCCTACACCCTTAGACTTACATGTATGGATATATTATGGGAATATGAGTATGAATTAAGTATTAAAACTTATGGTATGATGATTGGAAGCTATACGTGATATCTTAAATAACTAAATTGTATCAAACAATTAAACTGTATAATTAATGGCCTTTAAATACTTTAAAAAAATTTCGGGTGTTAAAGATATTTTTTCAAACCAGATCATGTTACATATAAGTTATGTATATGGGGTGACTGTATATGTGAAGTAATGAGCATATACACAAGAACCAAGTTATATTAAGGGGTTGTATATGGATACACTTTTGAGCATAATGTAATATACCTTGATTATATGTGCATGTATATGCATGTACAACATTATATGCATATTGTAAATGCTAGATAACATTATGATTTATATGTATGTTGCTATACATGTCTAATATGGATTACCAATCACATTGCTTATATGTATGTTGTGATAAGTACATGGTTTGGATACTTTTTCAAAATGCTATTTTCCGACTACAGAATAGTAGTCATAATTTTTCGACTACAGTAGTCAGAAAATTATAATTAATTTTTTTATATTTTTTTAATTTGTAGGCGACTGCCATTTCGACCGTAGTAGTCTTAAAATTTGGCGCAAAATACCGCGAATTAATTTTTCCGACCACTATAGTCTGAACAAAGTCAATAAAAAATTTTGACCAATCTTTCGATACAGTAGTCGTAACTTTTAAAAAAATATTTTTAATTTTTCAACTACAGTAGTCGGACAATGCACAAATTTCGTGATCAAAATTTTAATTAAAAATCGACTAAAGCTGCCGACCAATGTAATCAGAAAATAAGTCAACAAAATTTTGACCAAAATAAAAAAGAAATTTCCGTCTACAGTTGTCACAACCCATTTTCTGAACAAGCCGTGACCGATACCCGATCGATAAATTTGACCGAGCGAACTATCTACGCTTATCAAAACTATTATAACTTCAAACTTTATATGCAACAAGGCAATACTTTAATCAAATACTTTTAAGTAATTTTATTATCTAAAATAAACCAACTCCAAAACTTTATTCGTAGTAACTACTGAAATACTACAAAGTTTTTATCAAAAACACTTGAATCTTAACCCACCGACTGTGTCTATGAAGCCTCTACTGATAAACTGATGCACTGCTCAGGACATGAGATTTTCTGGCTAGTTCTCCAAGTAAACAAAGAAATATCTAAATAATGAAGACGCAAAGGAATACTCCACGAACAAAAGCGAAGCTCACCAATAACACTGGAAGTGAGGGAAGTCCTAACCTGTAGCCTGCTCTCCTGCAAAACCGGTTCCTACGTTGTACCGCAGACCAACGCAGGTTCCCAAAAGAGAACGCCGGTACCATCCTCAATGAGTCTCAACGACAGGGGACAAAACCTTAATAAAATATACATTACAAATAAATATTCTACATGCATGGAAAACATAAAGCGTTTAAGAACAATTCTAAAATAATTACATAACAACAGTTTATGAATATTCTAAAAGAAATTCTTTTCTTTTTCTTTCTTAAAAAAAATACTTCACTTCATACTTCGGGAGTTCCAACTATCCCGACTTATTTTTGTCTTAGTCACCGTGTGATCGGCACGGGTTCCATCCCAACCTGATCGAATAGGCCCAAACCACGAGGTGCCGCTCGCTTCGTGGTTCTCAGCACTCATGTATCATAACTTAGCCTAGCTAGGCAAATTCTCGCCAACGAGACACTCGGCTCGTATGCTCCCTACTTTGGCACATGTAGTTTCAAGAAGTCAACGCCTTGGTTAGGACCCTCGGCCTGGACGATGACCCTTTCTCAGAATAGAGGATACTCCAAAAAATCTTTTCTTTCTAAAACATCTTCTTGTGACTTTTCAAATCTAAATCTTGTTTGAAAGTGATCTTTCAATATTCATAATAATATTCTTGAGTGTATACATAGTATAAGCATGAAATACAATTACTCAAAGTATCTTTAAAAGTTTTATCTAACTCTTGAAACTTTAACATGTAAGATCACGTAATAAAGCATAAAAATATAAAAAAATAGACGATTATACTTCTCCAGAAAAATATATAAGCTTTAACTAGAATATACTTAGTCAATATGTATTCACACGTTTCAATTAAGCACATGTTGACTCTTTAAAATATTTTATCAAACACTTTGTGGGCGTATTTTTGTGAGTAGAACCACTTTAGTAAAAGGTTATATCCACTCACCTCAATTTCTCCTTTCAAGCAATAATGTAAGTTCCAATTCTTGTAATCAACTCAACGATCAAATACTACAACAATAAGTCACAATAAGTATCCAACTTTTCCAAAGTATTAATCTTTTCTCAACTCTAAGAACTTTAGGTTCAACTTCTAAATTTCTAAGTTTTGGGGTGAGGTCTTGTTCTAACAAATCTTTACTATCTCTAACAACCCTAACCTGTTATATCAATCCAATAAAAGTAAAGAATTTATCTTGTAACACCAAAAACCTAACTCGTACTTGATGGGTGTCCTTGAGGTTTTGTAAAACTTTCCTATGAATTCACCCCGTTAGGTTGTTAGATTCTAGTGTATAATGATGTTATAGCTTACAATCCCATAAAAAGAATTACCTCAATCGTGACCTAAAGAAGGTCTGAAGTAGTCGAGAAGCATTGTAGCCTCTGTTTCTTGCTCCTTGAAAAATCTATTTTTTTGTTATGTAGAATTCTTTGCAATTGTTTTCCAGCCCTTGTCTCTCGTTCCTCCTAAGGCTTTAAGCCTTTTCCTTTAATTTTTTGTCTTTCAACAGGTCATCCTATGGGCTTTAGGCCCAAATACTAGGTGTCTTGCTTTTTTTTGACTTAACAAGTATTTAATGATATCCCCTTTTAATAATTAATAATATTAAAATTAATAATATTTCCCTAATTATATATCCAATTATTTATAAATAGATAAGTAAATCAAAAGTCAATCATAAGGGTTTAAGTCCGTAATAAAAGTATAATATTTTTATGTACTCAAGATAAGATAAAAAATAAATTCTATATTTAGCGTGTGTTGAAACTTTTATAGATTTGAGGAGTGTTACAATCTTCCTTCCTTAAAAACATTTATCCTCGAACGTTTCTAGGGACTTATTCTTAAGCTAACAATAATTTCTTAAGTCCTTGAACTTCTTAAATTTTCTTAACACTACTCACTCTCAAAATTTTGGCTAACTCCCTAAATTTTCAAAAATTTCGGTAGTCTCCCCTGTAAATTGGACTATCCAAAAAACTATCCCTGTCACCAATACCACAACTACACCAACAACAATCAAATATACCATAACAAGCAATTCATAGGCACCATACTCAACTCATAAATTAATTGCTTACACTCTGACAAGGAGGTACCACAATAGCTAACTAAAATCTAAAGCACAACACTTCAACAAAAAGTAAATAACTTTAATGAATTAAATGTACTCTGCATTGTACGAAATTATTTAATAACTAAATATACTCTGACAGAAACTAAATTACTTCAACAATTAAGTATAATCTAGCAAGGACATAAACACATGCTAACTTGTATTTAATAAATGAAATATAAATGCCAAGCCAAACCTAGGTTCACATACCTTGTTCCTCAAATAAATAAGGATACTTCTTCCTCATATCTTCCTCGACCTCCCACGTAGCCTCTTTTGAATCATGATTATTCCATAAAATTTTTACCGATGCTATATCTTTTGTTCTCAACTTTCTTAATTGTCTATCGAGAATTTCTATAGGTACCACTTCATAAGTCAAGCATTCTTTAATTTTTATGACGTCGACAAGTATTATATGCGACTCATCATGAATGTATTTTCTAAGCATAGACACATAAAAGACAGGATGAATAGAGGACAACTCACGGGCAATGCTAGCTCATAAGCCACATTTCCCTTCTTTTCTATAATCTCATAAGGTATGATAAATCTAGACTAAGTTTCCCTTTCTTACCAAACCTCATAACTCCTTTCATTGGTGAAACTTTCAAAAACACCTTGTCACCAACCATGAACTCTAAGTCACGATGCCTCTTGTCAGAATAGGATTTTTAACGACTCTGAGCCACTTTTAGTCTTTCTCTGATTAACTGTACTTTCTCTAAGGCCTCACAAATAAACTCTGGACCAATCAACGACACATTTGCTGGTTCAAACCAACCCACCAGAGACCTACATCTTCGCCCATACAACGCTACATAAGGAGCCATACCAATGCTGGCCTGGTAGCTATTATTGTAAGCAAATTCTATTAGTGACAATTGATTATCCTATTAACCTCCAAAATCTATAACACATGCTCGCAACATATCTTCGAGAGTCTGAATGGTCCTTTCTTCCTCACCATTGGTCTGTAGATGGAAAACGATGCTCAAATTGACCTTGGTACCTAATCTTTTCTGAAATGCCTGCCAAAAATGCACTGTGAACTGAGGGCCTCTGTCAGATATGATTGAAACTGGAGTACCATATAATCGGACTATTTCTTTGGTGTACAACTGCACATACTGCTCTGCGGATTCTGTCGTCTTTATTGGTAGAAAATGCGCGGACTTTGTCAGTCGGTCTACAATAACCCAAATTAATTCATGCTTACAGTATGTGCGAGGAAAACCTACTACGAAATCCATATTAATCATCTACCATTTACACTATGGTATCTCTATATATTGAGTTAGTCCACCAGGCCTCTAATGCTCGGCTTTGACTTGCTAGCAATTCAAACATTTGACCATATGATCTGCTACTTGCTTCTTCATGCCTTCCACCAATACAACTCTTTCAAGTCGAGATACATTTTGGTAGCACCTGGGTAGATAGCGTACCTCGAACTGTGAGCTTCTTCCATTATGGCCTTCTTAAGCCCATCTACATCAGGCACACATAATCGATAATTCAACTTCAAAAGTCCATCACTTCCTAGAGTGAAAGCAGTGATTTCTTTGTTTCTGACTCCTTCTTTTCACTTCAATAAGTATGTATCTTCGTCTTGCTTAGCCTTAACATGCGCAACAAGAGAGGATTGTGCTAAGGCATAAGCAGTTATACCTTCTTCGGTCTTATCCAATATAATTCCATCATTTGCTAATTTTTGAATTTCTCGGCCCAAAGTTCGCCTTTGTACTGCAAGATGGGCCAGGACACCCATTGACTTCCTACTAAGTACATCTTCTACCACATTAGCTTTTTTCGGGTGATAAAGGATATTGATGTCATAATCCTTCAATAGCTCGAGCCACCTTCTCTGTCTCAAATTTAACTCTTTCTGCTTGAAAATGTACTTGAGGCTTTTGTGATCTGTAAATAGTTCACAATGCTTGCCATATAGGTAGTGTCACCATATCTTTAATGCAAACACCACTGCTACAAGCTCCAAGTCGTGTGTGGGGTAGTTCTTCTCATGATTCTTTAACTGCCTGGAAGCATAAGCAATAACTTTTCCCTCTAGCATAAGAACACACCCAAGACCAACTCTGGAGACATCACAATACACTGTGAACCCACCCGAACCTGTCGGCAAGGTTAACACAGGTGCAGTGGTCAACCTCTTCTTTAACTCTTGAAAACTCTGCTCACAAGCATCTGACCACTGGAACTTAACTGCTTTCTGGGTCAACTTAGTTAATGGAACTGCAAGTGAGGAAAATCCCTTTACAAACCTTCTATACTAGCCAGCTAATTCCAAGAAACTCCTGATTTCGGTTGGCGTTGTCGGCCTTGGCCAGTTCTTGACTGCTTTTATCTTCTGAGGGTCTACTTTTATGCCTTCACTAGATACCACGTGGCCTAATAATGCCACTAACTGCAACCAGAACTCACATTTTGAAAACTTGGCATAAAGCTCATTCTCCTTCAAGGTCTGCAAGGCTATCCTGAGGTGTTCTGCATGCTTATCCTTGCTCTTAGAGTATACCAAAATATCGTCTATAAACACGATAATAATGGTATCAAGGAATAGCTTGAAAACTCTATTCATGAGGTCCATGAATGCAGCTGGAGCATTTGTCAACTCGGAGGACATTACTAGAAATTCATAGTGCCTATAGCGAATTCTAAAGGCTGTTTTAGATATACCCTCTTCTCTGATTCTCAACTGGTGGTATCCCGACCTCAAGTCTATATTTAAAAAGTACTTTGCACCCTGAAGTTGATCAAATAAATCATCAATTCTTGGTAGTGGGTACTTGTTCTTAACGGTAACTTTATTCAACTGCAGATAATCGACGCACATTCTAAGATACCCATCTTTCTTCTTGACAAACAGGGTCGGGTCACCCTGTGGTGAAACACTCGGCCTGATGAAACCCTTGTCAAGTAGGTCTTTCAATTGTTCTTTCAACTCATTAAGTTCTGCTGGAGCCATCCTATAAGGAGGTATAAATATGGGTTGAGTGACTGGCATGAGATCAATGCCAAAGTCTATGATTCTTTTAGGAGGAAGTCCGGGAAGGTCATCTGGGAAAACTTCTGGAAATTCTCTAACAACTGGCACAGACTGAAGAGCTGGTGGTTCTGATTCTGTATTAATGATGTGAGACAAATAGGCAAGACACCCCTTGCCGATCATTCATTGTGCCTTAAGGTAAGAAATAAACTTACCTACAAGAGATGTTGAACTACCCTTCCACTCTAAGACTTCTTCATTTGAAAATTGGAACCTGACTATCTTGGCACGACGATATAACATGGCATAGTAGGAAGACAACCAATCCATACCCATGATCATATCGAAATCCACCATTTTTAACTCTATGAGATTGGCCTCGGTGTTGCGAACTTGGACTGAAACTATACAACCTCTATAGACCCTTGTGGCTTCTACTAACTCGCTAATTGGAGTAGATACTAGGAATGGATCACTAAGTTGTTCAAATTCTAGCCCGAGGTTAATTGCAAAGTATAGAGTCACGTACGAAAACGTTGAACCTAGATCAATTATGGCATAAGCATTATGTGAGCAGACTAGAAGTATACATGTAATAACTTCTGCAGATGCCTTTGCACTCTGACGATCAAGTGTAGCAAACAAACAGGGTTGTCCCCCTCCCTGAGTAACTTGATCTGCACCACTGCCTGATCCATGCCCAGCCTGATTATGAGAACCACGAGCCTGAGGTGGTGCAACTGTAGTAGCTGACGAACTAGAAGGACGAGTTGACCCCTACTGAAATTACGTCCGCTATCTGGCTTTCTTGTTATGCTCTTTTTCCTTTATCCTTTGTTGTCTGTCATTTTCTAAGTGCTTGGCGAATCCCACAACAGAGGAGAAAGCTGCTATTCCTACCGATGCAGCTGGTGTCGTATCCTTAATGTGGTAAGTCAAACCGCCAACGAACCTGCGGATCTTTGCTTTTTCTATCTTAACCATGTGAGGAGCATGCTTAGCCAAACTTATGAATTACATGTAGTATTCTTGCACACTTTTATTCCCTTGCTTGAGCTGCTTGAACTCTGTAGCCTTAGCTTCCCTATCCTCTTCTGGAATAAAATTAGCCATGTAGGACTCTTCAAATTCTTCCCAAGTAGGAGGGCCGCCATCTTCATCTCTTTCCTTTTCCCACATCTCAAACAAAGCACCGACCACATCTCTAAGCTGGTAAGCAACCAGCTCCACAGTTTCATCATCAAATGCCTTCATCGCTTGGGTGGCTTTCTTGACACCCTCCAGCCACAACATTGGATCTTCATAAACTATATTACCAAGGAACAATGGAG